GCGCTGGGGGGGGCCGGCCCCTGGCCCCCCCCAGCCCCACAGCCCCTGCCCACCACGGATGGGACAGGACGGGACGGGAGGGATGGGACAGGGGCACAGGGAGGGGGCACAGAGGGCGCGGGGAGCACCGGGTGGGAGCAGAGTGGGCACTGGGAGCACCACGGGCACTGGGGGCACTGGGAGCACTGAGAGCACTGGGGGCACTGGGGCACTGGGAGAACCGGGGGCACCAGGAGCCTCGGGGCACCAGGAGGATCAGGGACACTGGGAGCACCAGAGAGACTGGCAGCACTGGAGGCACCAGGGGTGCTCCCAGAGCACTGGGAGCACCGGGGGCACTGGGGCACTGGGAGCACCGGGGACATGGAGACGTTAGGCGGCATTGGGGCACCCCAGGAGGGACACGGGGATGTTGGGCAGGGCTGGGCCAGCACCAGGAGCATTGGGGGCACTGGGAGCACCAGGAGAACTGGGGACAGTAGGAGCACCAGAAGTACTGGTGGCACCAGGAGCATCGGGGGCACCAGGAGCACTGGGAGCACCGGGGGTACTGGGAGCACTACAGGCACTGGGAGCACCGGGGGCATTGGTAACACTGAGTGCACCAGGAGCACTGAAGGCACCAGGAGCACTGGGGACAGTAGGAGCACCAGGAGCACTGAGGGCACTGGGGGCACTGGGAACACTGGGAGCACTGGGAACACTGGGAGAATCAGGAGCACCAGGAGCACTGGGGGTACTCAGAGGACTGGGGGCACTGAGAACACTGGGAGCACTGGGAGCACTGGGGGCATCAGGAGCACTGGGGCACTGGAGACACTGGGAGTACTGGGAGCGCTGGGAGCACCAAGAGCACTGAGAGCACCGGCAAGCATCAGGAGCACCAGGAGCACTGGGGGCACTCAGGACACTGGGTGCACCGGGGGCACTGGGAGCACCGGGAGCATAAGGAGCACCGGGGGCACTGGGAGCACTGGGGCACTGGGGACACTGCGAGTACTGCGTACATTGGGAGCACCGGGGGCACAGGGAGCACTGGGGACAGTAGGAGCACCAGGAGCACTGAGAGCACTGGGGGCACTGGGAACACTGGGAGCACTGGGAACACCGGGAGAATCAGGAGCACCAGGAGCACTGGGGGCACCAGGGGCACCAGAAGCACTGGGAGCACTTGGAGCACTGGGAGCACCGGGAACACTGGGTGCACTAGGAGCACTGGGAGCACTGAGAACACTGGGAGCACTGGGAACACTGGGGGCACTGGGAGCACTGAGAGCACTGGGAGCACCAGGAGCATCAGGAGCACCGGTAGCACTGGGGACACTCAGAGCACTGGGTGCACTGGGGGCACTGGGAGCACCGAGAGCACTGAGAGCACCGGGAGTATCAGGAGCACCGGTAGCACTGGGGACACTCAGAGCACTGGGTGCACTGGGGGCACTGGGAGCACCAGGGGCACTGGGAGCATTGGGGCACTGGGGACACTGCAAGTACTGCATGCATTGAGAGCACTGGGGGCACTGGTAACACTGAGAGCATCAGGAGCACCAGGGGCAATGGGAGCACCGGGGGCACTGGGAGCACTGGGGGCCCCAGGAGCACTGGTGGCACCAGGAGCACCGGGAGCACTGGGGGCACTGGGGGCACCGAGGGCATCAGAAGCACTGGGGGTACTCAGAGCACCGGGAGCACGGGAAGCACTGGGGGCATGGGGAGCACTGGGAGCACCAGGAGCTTTGGGGCACTGGGGACACTGGGAGTACTGGGTGCACTGGGAGCACCGAGAGCACTGAGAGCACCGGGAGCATCAGGAGCACCGGGAGCACTGGGGACACTGGGAGTACCGGGTGCACTGGGAGCACCGAGAGCACTGAGAGCACCGGGAGCATCAGGAGCACCGGGAGCACTGGGGACACTGGGAGTACCGGGTGCACTGGGAGCACCGAGAGCACTGAGAGCACCGGGAGCATCAGGAGCACCGGGAGCACTGGGGACACTGGGAGTACCGGGTGCACTGGGAGCACCGAGAGCACTGAGAGCACCGGGAGCATCAGGAGCACCGGGAGCACTGGGGACACTGGGAGCAGGGGGTGGGCACTGGGAGCACTGGGAACAGGGGTGGGCACAGGGATGGGCACACTGGGCGCTGGGAGCATCACAGGATAGCGGGTGAGGGGGGACACGGGTGGGGAACAGCAGGCACCGGGAATACTGCGGGGTCATTGGGGAAAATGGGGCATGGGAGCGGGACGGGGGGCCCGCTCATGTGCCCCCCATCATGTGCCAGGGCCATGGGGGCCCCACGGCGACAGCGCCCCACTCCCCCGGCCATGCGGGCCCGAGCGCTCAGGATGCCGGGGGATGTGCACAGCCCCACACGAGACCCCGCACA